GTCTGTAAACCGCTCCGAGCCTCATGAATAGGGCGGTATATAAATCGCAAATGTAATGTAATTTGACTGGCTTTCGAGCAAGGGAACCTTTACCTTTACTTTAATGGTTGGGCAGGTCACACAACAAGCTTTGCCCCTTCACTTCGATGCTGTAGGGGCAATGATTTGTACTCAGAATTTAGGGCATATGGAAATGGGAAAAGGGGAAGTATGGACACACTCCACTGCCCCCAGCCCATGGTACTGATGTTTCATTCCAAAGGCTATAAAGAAGAGATTGGATTTATACCCCACCCTTCACTACCCAAAGAATCATAGAATCATTGAGTTGGAAGGGACCTTGCAGGTCATCTAGTCTAACCCCCTGCACTCTGCAGGAGCATAGCCGAAAGATAGCCCTACATACCTACAACATACCCGAAAGATGGTCGTCCAGCCTTCGCTTGAAAACGTCCAGCGAAGGAGCATTCGCCACCTCCCAAGGCAGACCGTTCCACTGCTCAAGCACTATTACAGTTAGGAAGTTTCTCCTGATATTTAGCTGGTAACGACTCCCTTGTAATTTCCACCCATTAGATCTAGTCTTGCAATCTGGAGCAAGAGCAAGAGAAGTCTCAGAGCGGCTTACAAACTCCTTTCCCTTCCCCTCCCCACAAAAGACACCCTGTGAGGTAGGTGGGGCTGAAGACTCCCTTGTAATTTCCACCCATTAGATCTAGTCTTGCAATCTGGAGCAAGAGCAAGAGAAGTCTCAGAGCGGCTTAAAACTCTTTTCCCTTCCCCTCCCCACAACAGACACCCTGTGAGGTAGGTGGGGCTGAGAGAACCCTGCCAGAAACTGCCCTTTCAAGGATACCTCTTATCAGAACTACGGCTTGCCCAAGGTCACCCAGCAGCTGCATGTGGAGGAGTGGGGAATCAAACCAGGTTCTCCCAGATTAAGAGTCCACGCACTTAACCACTACACCAAACTGGCTCTCTAAAAGTGCTGTATTCCTAGAGGAAGAGCTGTTCAACAGGTTCTAACTAGCTATTGATATCTAAATGGAACATCCATGTTCATAGGCAGCGTACCTCTGAGTATCAAGCTTTTGGGACACAACCAATAGGAACTGTGCACATCACCTTGAGTTCCTCAAAGGGAGGCATGGCGATGTGAGAAAAAGGGTAGTTAAAATGAACTGAGGCAACATTAGCTAGATAAGCTTTTTTTTTTCTAGGAGCTAAGTAAGAAGATACATGTATATCAGAATGTCAGAGCAAAGGAGGCATCAGATTTTGGGAAGCACAACCCCTAAAGGTGTTATATTCATAGAGGAAGACCTCATGCTGTTGGCTATCAATACCTAAATGGAACCTCCATGGTCAGAAATCATCTACCCCTGAATATCAAGAAGAGGTGGAATGGAGTGCCATTCAGCCAGAGGATAAAAAGAAATACTGAACAGAACCCGCACATAGGAGTTGTGTGTTAATCAGATGCCTGAGTGGGCCTGATCCTGCTTCAGATGACGCTCAGTGTGCAGAAGTAGGTCTGTATACTCCACTTTTCTACCTTAAGGAGTTTTGTGAGGCAGGTGGGCCTGAGAGAGTTCTGAGGGAACTGGTGACTGGCCCAAGGTCACCCAGCAGGCTTCATGGGGTGGAGTGGGGAATCAAACCCAGTTCTCCAGATTAGAGTCCGCTGCTCTTTCCCACGACACTATGGTGGCTCTCTTCAAGAGGACACTTTAAAGAGGAGTCAATTCGTTTTGTGCACTGATTTTCAGCGATTCCTAGAAAGCGAATCAGTTCATCAAAGAGCTCCAATTGAGAACATGGGCTGGATAGACCATAGGGCTTGGCTCGGGCAAAAGCAGATTCCACGTCTGTTGACTTTTACTTTTGACACTGAAAAGAAGAATACAAAAGGTAACAGCAGGGTCAGAAACCCACAGTGAGCATTGACGAGAAGGAGTGAGACAAGGTCCAGAGCCCAATCTGAGCAATATCATTTAATGATTATCGTGGTTAAAAAAGTATCAAAAAAGTATAAAAACTGCAAAACTATGAAAGCATTTATGGTAGTCTAAAACTGGCCACTAGGGATGGGCACAGACCTAAAAATTCCAGTTTGGGGTTCCTGAACCGAGCAAAAAATATCCTGAACCGAACTAGCCAGTTTGGATCCCCCTTTTACTTGCCGCGACCGGGAGAAGGGGGGGGGGGAATCACCCAGGAATGATTAAATGGCTGCCAGACATTAAACCTGTCCATTTTTTGGAAGCACTTCAAAGCCCTGCTGTTAGGTTTAAATGTCTGGCAGCCATTTCAACAGTCCATTTCACTTCCCCCTGCTTCCAAGTTGGGGGAAATGAAACCCACTGGTGAAATGGCTTGCAGCCATTTCAGCCTAACAGTGGGGTGGGTACGTCCATCAACTCTTAGGCTGAAATGGCTCGCTGCCATTTAAACCTATCAGGCCAGCTGCGGACCTGCACTGCTCAGCTGTTAGGTTTAAATGGCCCAAACAGCCGAAACTGACAAAAAGTTCAGTAAATGTTTGGGGAAGGCACCTTCCCTGAACACTGGTTCAGGGGCTCCGAAATGGGCCACGTTCGTGCTGAATTTTGGCTCTGAACCAGTTTGTGCCCATCCCTACCGGTCACCACAACATAGAAAAGTGTTCTCAAAAATGGCTCTTGCTCACCTCATAGGAAAAGAGAACCTGATTTTTTTTAAAAAATGTACATTCCAACTGTCTACCTTCAGTAGTAATTTCATTTCCCAACGGCAACTTGCTGAAAAAACACACAACAAAGAAAAGGGAAAAAATCCACAAAGCAAGACCTCGGGCACCCTTCACTAGCTAGCTGGAATGCGAGGAGGACGCAGTCTTCCTGTGTTTCTAAAAAGTAACCTTATTGCATAAAGCTTGTTAATGGTACATGATCCCTAGCAAATATGAAAAAGGAGGCAGTTTAACAAGTAAGGGTGCTGGTGCAGAACAATTCACAGTTTGGAGGGGGAGGAAAGCAGCACGGCGTTCCAAATTAGTCTTTCTAGCCCTCCAACCGCCCATTTAGACTTTTAAATGTGGCTCCCTTTCAGTCCTGGCCCAGGGATACAGCTGCGACTCGTTACACAGTTCCCACAAACCCCCCTCTTCAGTCACTACGAATCGGCAGACTACCAGAGCCTGTACCACAAGCAAGCCCCAAGTGCTTGGCTGCTATCGAGAAGATCGCACTGGGCCTGACGACGGGGCGCCAGCAAGACTCTAGCATGCAGCCTCAATGGCTGCTGGGCAGGCAGAGCGACGACGACCGGCCCGTCACTGGATGTCTGCGGGACGCAGTTGTCGCTCCCCCTCAGCCAGGAAGATCTGCATGGCCCTGTGCAAGAGGTAGACGCCCAAGTTCCGGCGCCGCTTCATGGACCAGCCTGCCACAATGCCGTAGTAGTTCCCCCTCTTCTGATTGGTCAGCATCTTCAGCCCTGAAGGCAGAGAGGAAAGAAGGGTCAGCAGGAGGAGGATGAGAAGGATGAGAAAGAGGACAGGGAGGAGGAGGAGGAGAAGAGGAGGAGGAACGGAGAAGGAGGAGATTGGATTTATACCCCGCCCTTCACTACCCGAAGGAGTCTCTGAGTGGCTTACAATCTCCTTTCCCTTCCTCTCCCCACAACAGACACCCTGTGAGGTAGGTGGGGCTGAGAGAGCTCTCTCTCTCGAGAACTGCTTGTGAGATCAGCTTTGAGAGAACTTGTGACTGACCTAAGGTCACACCAGCAGCTGAATGTGGAGGAGTGGGGAATCAAACCCGGTTCTCCCAGATTAGAGTCCGCGCTCCTAACCAGTATACCAACTCGTCCCATGCAACAGAGCCAGGTGTCAGCTAGCTGCCATGTTTCATCCGCATCTGTCCTTTCCTGCCTGTGGCGCGACTGTGCATGCTTGCTCGTTTGCTGTAAACAGCGGTAGGGAGGCGGTCCTCAGACCGTGCGAACTGGCGCTGCAAGACTGGGTTATCTGACTAACCTTGAGGAGGAGGGAGGGCTTGCGTTCCACTGTTGGTGTGAATATTTCTGCTCTCATGAGGCACGGAGACTCTCCCGTTCATTATTTAACCTCCCGCCGGGATAATTCCCCTGCGCACGCTTGGATTTCATCTGCTTAGCCAATTGCAGCATCACGTTATATGTAGTCATGCATCCGCCCCATTGTCATTCCTAACAATATCCCTGTAGACCATGTCAACGGACCTGTAGTCTAATAAAGCATAACGATTCCCTGGAAATGTGTGTGTGGAGATTTACATGCTGTTGAACCTGACAGTAGGTCCCGTGCAACGGAGATGGTAGACTACTGGCTACTGCTCCCACTAGGTTGATCCTTACCGATGGCATCCACCATACTGGCCTCTCGCGTGTAGGCCTCCACTGGGATGACGTTCTGGAAGCAGTGAATGGAGATGACACCCTCTCCACTCGCCCAGATCTCCAAAATGTGCTGGACTTTGGGACATGCCTGCGGGGGGGGGGGGGGGGGGACAAAGGGGAACGCATGCGCTTAGGGTTAGAGAAAGGGCAACTAGGCTGGCTGAGCAGGGGTGGAAACTAGTCAAAAGGCCAAAATTACTGATCTTACGGACCAAAACTCAAAACAAAAACAAACAAACAAAAAAAAACCCTAGCCAAATACTGACCAAAAACTGACAAACCGCTGAACTATTTAATTCCACCCTATCGAGAAATTAACGTTTTAAAAGCAAAACTGGGTATTCGTTAAAAAAAATTACCATCTGGCCTCCACCACCCCCATAGCCAGCCATCGCACACCTTTTTATTGGAAAAAAAAATATTTTATGAAGATAGGACGACGTTTTCATTACTGTACAAAATCTAAGGCATAAAAAAAAGATCCCCTTTTAAAAATAATCGCATACGGCAGATAATAAAACAGCAGAACGTATCAAAAGCCTTTACGTAAAATAATCATTCTGAGAACAAAACATAATTACTGTAAGGAAAGACTTTGCTTTTACTTTATCTTTGGGGGGGTTTTTTGCTGAAAAAATAAGTTATTAGTGAACTCTTTTGTTTCTCGACAGTTCTCCGCACAGCATCCACAAGCATTTTTTCTTGTCCCCTTCTTCCTTTGCTGTCTTCCACTCCTAGCATGAGCTGTGCCGTGCTGAATCCCACGATATCCTTTTTCTCAACAACCCCCATTACATGTTTGGTTGCATCACTTAGCAACGTTCGAGCAATCCTCCTCTTCTCGTTTTGTTCTTGTCTCAGCTTTTCCAGTTTTGCTGATTTCTTCTATACAATCCTTTTCACGATCTTCTTAAAGTTTTCTAACTCCTCTGCCTTCCCCCTTTTTTTCTTTTCTTTTTCTCTTTGGCGCCTTCTCTTTAATGACACGCTGTTCATCACAATACTGTTGTCGAAGGCTTCCACAGCCAGAGTTCATTAGTTGCTGTAGATTTCCCGGCTTGTGTCGCGTGGTCTTGGCATTGTAGGACCTGACGTTTCGCCAGCAGCTGTGACTGGCATCCTCAGAGGTATAATACAGAAAGATGCCACACAGCGTAGCATTCAGACGAGAATAAAATAACATGGAAGACACTGCAGACGTGGCCAACCTGAAAAATCAGCAGTGGCTGAACATAGCCTAACTCAAACAGGACACAGTATTTTGTTCCAAGACACTGAAAGGCTGGACAACACATCCAATTACCATGTCAGATTACACAGGGAAGCCACTGAAATTCATAAACATGAACACAACTTCAACAGGAAAGAAGAGAGTTTAAAAATAAATAGGGCATGGGTTCCTGTCCTGAAAAACACAAAAGGCTCTACATCTGACAATAGCACTACAGATAAGATTGGAATCTCAGCCAATCCACATACAAAAGAACCTCCTCAGGAAACAGGAAATCTCCTCAGGAAACAATCCATATACCAAAGAACCTCCTCAGGAAAGCTCCTCCATTAGCATGTCACAGCCTGGGGAACTCCTACAAGAGAATGACTCAGCCCTACCCCACCTTCCTGAGTAGATATAAATTACCTGCTTATCATTTTTCTTCTCACCTTGACATGGAGAGTACTCCGTCTTTCTGTGTTATACCTCTGAGGATGCCAGTCACAGCTACTGGCGAAACATAGGGTTCTACAATGCCAAGACCACGGCCACGCAACCCAGAACATCGACAGCAACTAACATCACAATATTGCTTGTAACAAACATGAGCTGCTCTTGCCATCTGTAAAAGCTCATGTGTGATATTAACATGGTATGCCTCGTTTTCGTATACATATCTTTAACCATCAGGTGAAATGGCTACCGAAGGAGGTGGATCCAGCTGCAGAATGGCTTCTCACCGGGAAGTCATCTCCATCTTTAGAGGTTTTTAGACATCTGGCTAGATGGCCATGTGACGGCAATGCCGATTCCGTGAACTTAGGCACATCATGAGAGGGAGGGCAGGCAGGGTTGCCTCGGTGCTTAGTTGTTGTGGCCGTTTCTTACACACCCAGGGAAATGCTTCATATCTCGTATATGAAAACAAGGTATAACATGTTAACATCGCACAGGAGCTTTCACAGAGGGCAAGAACAGATTAGATGGCTCTGGTTGCCACTTTGGGGTCACAAAGCAATTTTTCTCCAGGCAGGTTTGGCTGGGGATTCTGGAGGATGTTTTTGTCATCTACTGGACCTGGAACAGGGGTCACTGGCAGTGTTCCCTCTAAGCTGAGTTAGTGTGAGCTAGCTCACAGTTTTTTTTAACCTCCGCCTCACACATTTTCGTCTCAGCTCAGGGAGGGTGGCTCCAGAGCAAACTAATTTAGGCAGCAGCCAAATCGCTCGCTCACAACTTTAATGCCGGTAGCTCACAAAGTAGAATTTTGGCTCACAAGACTCCACAGCTTAGAGGGAGCACTGGTCACTGGGTGTGTGTGGGCGAGATATCTGTGAATTTCCTGCATTGTGCAGGGGGTTGGACTAGATGACCCTGTTGCCCAGCAAGGCACTTAATGTGCGCTTATGAACTATATCTCATAAGTAATAAATATGGACTATGCAAAGATATGGTTAAGGGACTGTACTGCAAGCTGACCCAATAGGAGGCCAGTTGAGACTGTACACCTGAGAGAAGAAAAATCTTCCTTTGCGTTGATGTACCAGCAGCTCTTCAAGGTTACCTGCCCTCTTACCTGATGTGAGATGGATCAGTTCCTTTGTCTGTGTAACGCCATCCCATGCCCAAGCATGAGGACAGAAAGCTCCAAACGCCATTAGGAGTTTCTTCCAGCACATGTAGGCAACCCCTTCCCCCACCCCAGCTACCTACAATTCTGCACATACTCAAGAGACTCTCCCTGCAGTTGCTTGGCAACTACGTAATTGTTTGCCCATCAACAACCCGCTAGGGCCATCAAGAGACAATAACCTTAACCTGATCACTCATCTTACCTGCAACCAGGTGCCAGCTTCCAGCCTAAGTTTCTAGCTCTCAATATTGACAACTCTTTAGTCCCCCTCCCCTCTTCCAGCCAGCCAATAGTATGTTTTATGGGACGGACTAACAGGAGGTGTCACAGGGGGATGTGGCCAGCCTAGCCAGCCCCCCCACAACACGTTATAAAAGATGCTGCCCGACCACATGGTCTCTCTCTTACCCTCTCCACGACCCCTGTCGAAGCTTTAAGCCTCTTATGTCCAGTTTGCTATCCATATACCCGACCTCCATCTTTAACCTCTAGTCTGCAGCTAGAGTCCAAACCCCTCCATTCTTCCATTGGAACGGCTCAATCAATGAGGACAGCTAAATATCACCCAACCAACGAATGTCCTGCTAATGCAAAAGTGTTTATGATCTATCTTTATTTCTGAGAATAAGTATAATTGTGTGAGTGTTTGTGTATTGTCCGACTGAGACATCTCCATCAGTAAATGATATTATATTTTACCAACCATAGTCTCTGTGTCTGTTCTGGTACTTACAGCAAAGGTGGGACTTCTGTATACATTGGTGTGAACCCTAATTTGCCCATTGCCAATTAATAATCATAACTTCCCCTAGATTAATTGAGAATTCAAGGCAATTTGGCTAACAACCCTGGAGGTCCCTTCCAGTGTTCCCTCTAAGCTGAGTTAGTGTGAGCTAGCTCACAATTTTTTAACCTCCAGCTCACATATTGTTGTCTTAGCTCGGGAAGGAGGGCTCCAGAGCAAACTAATTTAGGCAGTAGCCGAATCGCTCGCTCACAACTTTAATGCCAACAGCTAACAAAGTAGAATATTTGCTCACAAGACTCCACAGCTTAGAGGGAACATTGGTCCCTTCCAATTCTATGATTCTGATTCCCCCAAAATGCAGTAACAAAAACAACCCCCCCACACAAGTTGCATTCAAGAAAACAAAGAAACACTGACTTAACTGACCATTTAAACAAACAAACAAACAAACAAACACCTTACAAATTAATGACCAGGATGAAAAAAATGAACTTTTACTGATATAACTGACCATTTCCCACCGCTGGCTGAGGGAGTCAGGGTGTAGTGGTGTGGGTGCTACAGTGTCAGGTAGCCCTGTCATGGGTCTGGAATGTGGAGGGGTGCCCTCCCATTTTCTGTCTCAGCTCTCCCTGGCTCACCAACTGTTTGCTATCTTATGCTTGACCTTGTAGATGCTCTAGTTGCAGTATTATTCGCCTGGGAAAGTTAATGCCTTTTGCTTTGCCTACTTGCTTTGCCCGCCCGTGCGAGATGTATCCACTGGCTCGTGCTTACCGGGGGGATGTTTGGTTCTAGTATAAGTCAGAGGCCCTTGTATAGGCGGCCATTCCTGACACAAGCTGTACACGTGTCTCTAGTTCTGGATTTACCAATAAACAATTATCTTCTCATGAAGCCCTGTGTTGCGTAACCTGACTAAGGACCCTGACATACAGCCCTTGAGGCTGGAGTGGGTCAAAGGACTACTAATCACCTCCATCTTAGAACTCGAAAGCAGACGGGGGCACAAAGAAACTGGGCCAGCCCTCCCCTACAAGAAGCGACAACTGGTGACCTCCCAATCAACCCCCGGTTCTTCCGTCATCTCTGCAAGCAGGCAGTGGGCACAGGTTACAAATTATGAGAGATCACGGGGGAAGCTGATCAACCAATACAAACAACCGTGATAGAGGTGCTAAGAACTTATTTTATGTAAAATTTCTATGCAATTCACTTACATTACTTTTAGCATTAATAAGATACCAGGGCTTTTTTCTTGGAAAAAGAGGTGCCAGCCAGAACGCTCTAGAGCAGGGGTGTCAAACATGCCGCCTGGGGGCCATATCAAGCCCCCGGAAGGGCTTCTATCAGGCCCGCAGTGGAACTGGCTGTCTTCGGCTTCTTCTTCCAGTTCTGCTGCTGCTGCGTCATCGTAGGTTTGCAGCTTACAGATACACACCTGAACAGCAGATTCAAGATTGCAACAGCACAGACATCTTGATGCAATCATTCAGAGCAAGAGGTGTCAGTTATCAGACACTGTTAAATAAACAAAATATTGCAAGAGTGCTAATGTTCTAAGCATGTTTTATTTTAAGTAAAAAAAATACCTTTGTGTTTGTGTCCTTTATAGAGTTTATATCTCCGCTACCTGGCATTACATTCTATGACACACATGGCCCGGCCCAACAAGGTCTCATTCATGTCAGATCCAGCCCTCATAACAAATGAGTCTGACACCCCTGCTCTAGAGGGAAATGAAGTTTTCAGCCTGTATACTGAAGACTCATGAACCTTTAAAAAAAGAACTTTGTTGAAGAGGTTCCAGAACTCCGTTCCGGCACATTCCCCCAGAAAAAAAGCCCTGATAGATACCAAAGAATTTTACAGTGCATATAATTCCTCTACGATAAATAAAGTGCTTAGGTCAAATAACTGTCCATATAGTCTTGACTGATGCTTATAATCAGGGCTATTTTTGGGCAGGAACGCACAGGAACGGAGTTCCGGCTGGCTCCCAAGTTGGCCACGCCCAGCAGGAACTCATTAGTATAATAGGCCACACCCAACAACAGCAACTCATTAGGATTGGCTACAATTAGGGGTGTGTGGCCTAACATGCAAAGGAGTATAATCAGGGCTATTTTGGGGCAGGAACGCACAGGAACGGAGTTCCGGCTGGCTCCCAAGTTGGCCACGCCCAGCAGGAACTCATTAGCATAATAGGCCACACCCAACAGCAGAAACTCATTACGATTGGCTACATTAGGGGTGTGTGGCCTAACATGCAAAGGAGTTCCTGCTACAAAAAAAGCCCTGGGTTTTGACCACAAACAAGGTAAACAGAATAAGAAGCAAAAGGTGGGTGTGGCTGGATGACCAGACTTCTGGTAACATGGGGGTGCGGCCTCACGTGCCAATGAGCTGTGCTGTCAGGGGTGTGGCCTAATATGCTAATGAGTTTCTGCTGTTGGGTGTGGCCTATTATGCTAATGAGTTCCTGCTGGGCTTTTTCTACAAAAAGCGCCCTGCTTATAATATAAAGAGGAGGGATTTGCCACATAGAACTTGGAACAGATGCAGAAGTTGACAATTAGAAGTTCAGAGCGATGATATGAACAGTGATTTGACCTAAGCCTCACCACAGAGGAATTATATGCCCTGTAAAATTCTCTGGTATCTATTAATGTGAAAAGTAATACAAGTGAATTGCATAGAAATTTACATAAAATCAGTTCTTGTTAACTGTATCACGGTTGTTTGTAGTGGTTGATCAGTGGGCACACGTTGGCAACTGGCTTCGTGGCACAGGCCTGGCATGGCTGTGTCCAGACAGACCCTCGAAAGGGCTGCGATTCTTCCACCGCACCTTTTTGTTCTTCCTCGTAGAAGGAAACGGGACCCATTTGGGCCCAACAGGATGGGTCAAAGAAAACTGTGCAAAAAGACACTAAGGAAAAATATGGAACTATTTACTAGTGAGTAATACGGTGGCTCAAGTGGTTAAGACGCAGAACTGCAGGCTGTGGAAGGTCAGTAGTTCAGCAGTTCGAGACCCGGGTGCCGCATGATGGAGTGAGCTCCCGTCTCTAGTTCCAGCTCCTGCCAACCTAGCAGTTCAAAAGCAAGAAATTGCAAGTCGATAAATAGGTACCACTTCGGTGGGAAAGTAACAGCGTTCTGTGCGCCTTGGTGTTTAGTCATGCCGGCCAAATGACCACGGAAACGTCTTCGGACAGCACTGGCTCTTCGGCTTTGAAACGGAGATGAGCACTGCAACCCTAGAGTCGGACTCGACTGGCTTTCGAGCAAGAGAACCTTTACTTTTAACACAAGTATAAGTGGTAGTAATACAACTAGGGATACCACTTAAGTAGTACTTACAAAAATTCAACTGGTAAATCCTAACTTTTTTTCAGAAGTTCAACAGGTAAGTTATCAACAATCTGACAGGTAAGTCTACAATTTCTCAATAATACAACAGAGGCAGTGTTTACAAAAACCCCACAGATGAAATCAATACTTATACTGGTAAGTTTTCAACAGTCCAACTGGTAAGTAGACAATATATCCAACTGGTAAGTCTACACTGGATGACGAAGACTCCGGATTTCATAACTTCGTTTCGAACAGTCTTCCTCAGCAGAGGCTGCTTAGGG